TAGTAAAGCAGGAATCATAAACGTGTCAATTATGACAGTGTGGCTCCTGAATCTCACATAACACTGATTAAACTCATTTTACAAAGTAAAAGACTGAACAAACCAATAGAATTGCAAGGAAGCTATTTCTCTAGCTGTATTCATTTCCTATGGCAGCCATAACAAATTACTACAAACATAATAGAAATGTCTTGTCTCACTGTACTAGAGGTTAGGAGGTCAAATTCAGGATGGATTTAGTCTTTTTTGTCTCCTCCAGCTTCTGGTAGCCCCAGGTGTCCTTGTCTTGTGGCAACTTAAGAACTTGTTTTCACATGGTTATCTTCCCTCTGTCTTTGTTTCTTCTCTGTTTATAAGGAATCCAGTTACTTTGCTTTAGGATCCACACAACTCCAGCATAACCCGTGTTAAGTAATTACATCTGTAAAGACTAGTTCCAAAAAAGACACATTCACAGGTACCAGGGTTAGACTTGAACACATCTTTCAAAGGACACAGTTGAACCCATAATATCAACCAATATAGATGGGCCACAGCACTAGAGCTTGTGGTGGCACTGGTAGCCTAGGACCCTAATACAGTGAGAAGAAGTGAGGAAGGGTAACCGGCAGCTATTGACTCTTTTACTCATGGTTGTCTGTCTGTTTGTATATCTTGTCTCAGTGGGTAACATCACCTAGGTGCCCAAACAAGACACCTTTCCCATTCTTCCTCTTTTTCTGTTAGCCTTCACTTTCAACCTATTGCTAGTACTGTTGATTCTAAAGTCCCAGGTTTTTCAAATATGTCTACTCCATTCCAGTTCCTTTGTCGCAATCCTGTTGTTGTTTTTAAGTGACATCAAGATGGTTCCAACACATTGAGACCCTTGATCGGGTTTCTAAGGAGCAGCTGGTGGGTTTGAACTGTTGCCCTTGTGGGTCACAGTCTAGTACTGATACTGCAGCACCACACCATGAGTCCAATCCTAGTGCAGGCTATCTCTAGATTACTTTATTTATTGTTGTTGTTGTTAAGTCCTGTCAAGTCAGTTCTGACTCATAGTAATATAGGGTTTCCAAGGAGCGGCTAGTGAGCTTGACCGATTAACTTTGCAGTTCAAACCTACCTTGCCAATCAGCGCATTAGCTCACAGTGCCACACCAGGATTACTTTGTTGTTGTGTAGTGCCATCAAGTTGGTTCCGTCCCCATAGCAACCCTGTATAGGGTTTCCAAGGAGCAGCTGGTGAGCTTAAACTGCCAACCTTGCAGTTCAAACGGTTTTGCAGTCTGGCACATTAACCCACAACACCACTTTAGCAGCCTCCAAATGCATCTCCCTGATGCTAAAGATGAGAAAATTGGAGCAGTTAGACAAAGTAGTAAACCCTCTGTAGAGGAAGAGAGTCTAGATTTCATATCAGGTTTATCAACTCTTAACCTCAAACTCTTGGAGTCTTGGTATGACACTGTGGGTTAATGTACTGGACTGCAAGATCAATTTAAACAGCAAGGTCGGTGGTTCAAGCTCACCACATACTCCTCAGAAACCCT